ACATCCCCAGCCCTTTAGCCCATTTTTTTTAAAAAAATATTTTTTTAGTTTTAGATGGACACAATACCTTTATTTTTACATGGTGCTGAGGATCGAACCCAGGGCCTCACATGTGCAAGGCGCATGCTATACCACTGAGCCATAGCCCCAGCCCCAAGCCCATTTTATGATGAAGAAGGTTGGGTATAAATTAGTGCTGCTGGGCTTGGGACAAAGGCCAGGCACAGAGAGGCTGACTAACCTGCCTAAGGTCACACAGGGGAAGTAGAGTTGCTGGCAAAGGGGCGAGCAAGTGCAAAGGCAGGGAATAGTCACAGGAGACAGTATGCAGTTGTTTGAAACTATTGAGGTGTCCTGATGTGAGAGGTCTGTGTCCTTGGTACTCAGAGGGGCAGCAGAGACAGTGGGCAGATGTGGCTGGGTACATGACTGGTGTATTTATGCATAGGAAGCTAATGGCCCCGCTGATGGCTACGCTGCAATAGCCCAAGTTGACAGGCTGACTCAGGAGCCCGAGAGCATACGCAAATGGAGAGAGGAGCAGAAGAAACGGCTGCAAGAGCTAGGTAAAGGCAGGGTTGACTGGGAGCTGAGTTCTGGCTGCCTTGGTGCTGGAACATGGTGTGGGGGGGAAGTCATGGGATTGGTGGAGGCCCACACTGCTTTAATGTGGGATCTGGGTGAGGGTGGGCCCTGCCAAGGTCCAAGGGGAGGGGCAGCCTGGGCCGTAGGGCACTGGAAAGATGCCACTTTTTCTCTTGTTGGGTTCACAGATGCTGCCTCTAAGGTGACAGAACAGGAGTGGCGGGAGAAGGCCAAAAGGGACCTGGAAGAGTGGAACCAGCGCCAGAGTGAACAAGTTGAGAAGAACAAGATCAATAACAGGTGAGAGGAGCCTAGGAACATGGAGGAGCTCTCGGGATATAAGAGGAGCTATGGGCATATGAGGGGAGATATGGGGACACAAGGGGGGGCAAAGAGACAGCGGAGAGCCGTGGGGAAATGAGAGGAACTACGGAAACATGAGCATGGGGATTGAGGTAAGCTGTGGGGACAGTGAGGGGAGCCGTATATGATGTCAGAGACAGTCTTGAGATGGGTGATTTGGTGGCAAGAACATGCAGGGAGGAGGATGATGCGCCCAGGGTGCTTCCTTGGTTGCCTGTGGAGTTGAGAATCCTTCAGAGACCTCCCCACCTTTCCATGACAGAGAGGACACAGGTCTGTCAGTCAGCAGATCTCCAAGGGCCCTGGAGCCAGACTGTCCAGGAGCCAAGCTGCCAACTGCTAGCCCTGGGCCCTCCACAGCCAGGGTTAGGTCAGAGAGCACAGGCCTGGCTGAGAGTGAAGAACCAACCTGGGTATAGGATTCTGACTGTTATAGCACTGCTCCCTAGAATGACTAAAGGATAAAAGGAAATTAATGGCCTGTAATACTGAAAAGGCCAGTGGGAGGACTGTAGGCACAATATCATCCATGAAGTCAATGGGTACATACCTTTACTGTAGCTCAGCTCTGCTTTCCTCCATGTTGGGCACACAGCCCTCCAGTGGGGGGCAAAGATGGCCAGGTTCTAACCTGTTCTCTTGGCAACCTCCATGAGAAGAACATCAGGTGGCTAACAGCTTCAGCTGAGGTCTTTGACCTGACTCTCATTGGTCTCTTTTAGATCATGTGTCTGTGCCAGGCCCTGTGACTGTAGCCAAGAGGAGGGATATGCTTATGCCGTCCGGCATGGGTGAAAGTCCCATTCCTTGGGCTCTGCATTAGGGTCAGTTCCATACAAACCCCAGGGCCTGCTATTGGAATAGCCTGATCCCACAGAGGACAGACAGGCAAAGATAGCAGTTGTCCACCAAAGAACACCTGTGCGGAAATGGTCTCAGACTGGCTGCTGTCCATGAAGACTGCCTTTGAGGTTGTTCACTTCAAGGTACAAGACCTTCCAAGAAGGGAAAGACACATTCGAGGAAGCTGCCACCTTGTGTTCAGAAAACTGCAGCATGCCAGGGTCCAGATGAGGAGGAGCTTCCGGCAGGAAGGGTGCCCTGTCCGGCCTCTGTGGGATCAGGCTGTTCCAACGGCAGCCCCTGTGGTTTGTATGGGACTGACCCTAATGCAGAGGTCAAAGAATGGGACTTTCACCCATGCCGGATAGCATAAGCGCATCCCTCCTCCTGGCTACAGTCACATGGCCTGGCATAGACACAGAATCCAAAACGGACCAATGAGAGTCAGGTCAAAGACTTCAGCTGAAGCTGTTGGCCACCCGATGTCCTTCTCATGGAGGTTGCCAAGAGAACAGGTTAGAAGCTGATCTATGTCCTCAAAGAGCTCAGAGGAGAGAACCATGCAGGTACAGCTGAACTTGAATACCATGAGGCCCTCTGCCCAAGTCATACAAGGGAAGCCAGGAACAGGCTGGGGAAGAATTCTTGTGCCTGGAGACTTGGGCTCTGGAGGACAACTAAGAGTTCATCAGGAATAAAAGGGCAGGGTGTAGGGAAGGGGATTCTACACCTGGGAACAGCCTGGCAGGAAAGAAAAGATGAGGCATGTTGGGTCACCAGGGGGTCAGGGAGTGTTGGAAAAGATGGCAAGTGGACAGATGGGGGAGTCCCACTGGGAGGGCTTTGGGCACAGATGTGGGCAATGGGGAGTCACTGAAGGTTTTTGAACAGGAGAGTAATATGATCAGGCTGAGCTTCAGAAAAAGCACTGTGGCCAGGGTGGAGGATCCCCTCTAGGGCTATGCTGCGCCTTCAAACTGTGCTTCCTAACACACTTCCCATGGGAGGTACTAATGCTCTCTCTTTCTCTTTAACCCTCTACCTGCCTGTCTGGCCTTCTCCACCTAACATCTTCTCCTAACATTTCCCTCAAGGATCGCTGACAAAGCATTCTACCAGCAGCCAGATGCTGATATCATCGGCTATGTGTACGTGTCTCCTTTGCTTCTCTGCTGGGAGGGATCTTGAGAGGGACCCAGGTGGGCGTGTGGCTGGCACAAGACTTCTGGAATCTTTTGCTTGTGGGATATAAATCAATGTGGTTGGGCTTAGGGCAATGATCAGAGCAGGAAGCTAACCCTCACTTCGGTCTCTCCAGCAAACTGGAGGTTGCTTTGCCAAATCAGAGAGCCCTACAGGGGAGGGCAGAGAAAAGAATGTGCCATGTAGGAGGGGCAAAGGGCAAAGCAGCCCTGGTTTCTTCTCTCTGAGATGCCTCTTTGGGTGGGTAGGTGGGTGGGTTGAAGGGGTCTTTTGTTGAACAAAACAAACACAAGGTACTGAAGGCAAAAGAATAAGAGATGCTTTTATGTGTATACCCATCCCTGCCCTCTACCCCCAATCCACTGACTTTGGTCATGAGCCCCACCCACACCACCAGGGTCCCCTATCATGTGGTTCTGGGCTTGGTGTCTAGCTAGTATTGAGACTAATGTAGACATGGAAAACAGGCTTCCTCTCATGCCAGTCTCAGTTGATTGGTTGTGACGGGTTGGAGGGTGGTGTTTGCGATTCTGAAACCAAGGACAAAAATGCAGTGATTCAACTGAGTGTTGTCTGACACATGTGAGTGTGCCAAGTACTTGCTGTTCTTGCTGGAGCCACTCCTTGCTCTGGGTGTGCCATGGCCTTTTCTGATGCTGCCTGGGCTAAGCCTTTGCTCATAAATCGCAGGTTCCAGCAGGGCAGCAGCTTGCCTTCTTCCTTCTATCCCCTCTTCCATCTGTCCTGTGCTCACTGATACTTACCCTATGCCAGTGTCTGGTCTAATAGAAACAGGGGGGCTGGGGTTGTGGCTCCGTGGTAGAGCCCTTACCTCACATGTATGAGGCACTGGGTTTCAGCTTCAGCACCACATAAAAATAAATAAAGGTATTATATCCATCTAAAACTAAAAATATATATTAAAAAATAGAAATAGGTCACACATAGTCTGTCTCCCAAGTTGCTCATGGACTGGAGAACGCTGTGATAACAGCCATGTGTGGAAGGACACAGGAAGCTCTGGGAGCTACCCTCTGCTGGGAAAGCCAGGACAGGCTTCAGAGATTTGTGACCTTCAGCTGGATCTGAAAGTACAAGAAAGAATTCACTGGGTGGGGAGGGGAAGGGCAGGGCATTCTAGGTGAGAATTAGCTGGGGCAAAGGCCTAGAGAAAGGAACTACCTAGCTGCCTGCAGTGGCTGCAGTATTGCTGGGGCTGCTCTGTGGCAATCATTGGGGGCTGCGGCTGGGTATTGCAAAGCGCCTGTTATGCTAGGCTAAGAAGCTTCAACTTGATCCCGAAAGCAGTAGGGATCCATGAGAGGTTTTCAGCAGGGGAAGAGGATGTCTCATAGGCTCTGGTGCTATGGAATTCCACAGGGACTCGGTGCTCCTGTTCAGCCCAAAAACATGGCCCAGAGAGCATGCAAGAGGATCCCAAAGAGAGAAGAAGCTTTTTAGACTTGCATGTGCCTTTGAATTACCAGGGGATCTTGAAAAATGCAGATTCTGATTCAGGAAGACCAAGATAAGGCTCAAGATTCCGTATTTCTAATAATCTCCATGGTGACATTGATGCCCCTGGACCATGAGCCACACTTTGAGCACAGAGAACACAAGGAATCTCTTCTTTCCCCCATATTTTAATAGTAGATGGACACAATACCTTTATTTTATTTATTTATTTTTATGTGGTGCTGAGAGTAGAACCCAGTGCCTCACACATGCTAAAGCAAGCACTCTACCACTGAGCCACAACCCCAGCCACAGAAGGAAATCTCTTGATCCTGAAGGGGGGCAGCTCCTGGGATAGCTCCTCTCATCATCAGACTCTACACAGCACACACCAGCCATCTTACTGGATTGTCAGCCAGGAACCAGATCAGCAGGGTGGAAGCTAGGAGCCTAGAGATAGAGAGGGTTTCAAGGAAAAAAAAAGGAGCTCTCCAGAAAGGATTCTTACAGGTCAAAAAGGTCACAGATCCAGCTCTCTCCACTGTTTTTTTTTTTTTTTAAATGTCACTCATGTTTAGATTTTATCCCTCAGCTATATTTACTGTTTGTTTCTCTATTGTCCCTTACTGCTTTTTTTTTTTTTTTTGTGGTGCTGAGGACCAAACCCAGGACCTCACACATTCTCTCACCTAGGCAAGTGTTTTACCACTGAACCACATCCCCGGCCTTATTTGTATTTTATTTAGAGACAGGGTCTCACTGAGTTGCTTACCGCCTTGCTTTGCTGAGGCTGGCTTTGAATTTGCAGTCCTCCTGTCTCAGCCTCCCAAGCCACTGGGATTACAGGCATGTGCCACTGCACCCCAGCCTGATCAGCAGCTTTTTAAACTACCAAGAACTTCTGAAGAAGGGACCAATTCAGTTTGCATCCTAATGTGATTCCAACCAAAAGTAAGAATGCCAATCCCCAGGTGTGGCTCCACAGAGTTGATGATCCTTTCGGGCTAAAAAGGGTCTCTATTCACACTACCCTTTTCTGGAGAACACTCATAAAGCAATGCTGAGCCACATTTCAGTGAGGTGGATGGGTAGTCAACGTCTTCCCTAGGTTAAAGTTTTGGAAATGTTGAGCATAGCTGAGGTACTGAATTAGTTTCTCCAAGGGCCTTGAAGTGTTGGGATCATCAGGCTGGGAATTCCATTCAGATGGCGAGGTAATGCAGAGTGCCTAGACTGGAAGAAACTTTCTGAGGTGAGGCCTATGCTGGGAACTCAATGAAATGAAACAACAAGCCATAAGCAGATGTGGAGGAAGAAACTTTCAGGAAGAGGTGATAAATTAAGTGCAAAGGTCCTGAGGCAGGACCAAACTTTACTTCTTTTCTCTTTTTGGTGACAGGGACTGAATTCAAGGCCTTAGGCATGCTAAATGTGTGCTGTACCACTGAGCTACATCCTTAGCCTTAGGTTTCCTCTTATGACAAAGCTGTTCCTGGGGGGTTGAGGTCACGGAGTATAGGGTTAGGGAGAGAATCTGTGGATAAATTGTCCCCAAGTAGGCTGGGAGCAGGGCATCAGAAGGTGGACCACTATGAAACATCTGCTCCGTCTTCATCTGCAGGGCATCTGAGGAGGCATTCGTGAAGGAATCCAAGGAGGAGACTCCAGGCACAGAGTGGGAGAAGGTGGCCCAGCTCTGTGACTTCAACCCCAAGAGCAGCAAGCAGTGCAAAGATGTGTCCCGGCTGCGTTCGGTGCTCATGTCCTTGAAGCAGACGCCGCTGTCCCGCTAGGTGCCTGTCATAAGCATGTTCACAAAGCACGGGCCACACCAGGGCAGAGGAGCAGCAGCTGCTTTGGCCAGGGTGGAAACTTCCTCTGGCAGCTGCCACACACAGCCTATTCCGTTCCTCTCCATCTCCCGGGGCTGAGAAAGGGGACCCTGACCCCTTTGGTCCCTTGCTCTCTCCTGGCCCTATGGTCCAGCCCCTCATGGCTCCTCCTCAGTCCACTCAATTGTGACTGTCCCTCTTGATGTATTTTTTTTTTCTTGCTTAAAGGGTGTGTTGTTAACTCTTTTTACACCTATTTATTATCATCCTCATTTCTCTGGAAGCCACAACTGGTGTCAGGGTTCAGTTTATGCTTAGAACTTTTCCAGTTTCATGGCCTTGAAGAAGGTAAAGAATACCTGAAAAGAACAACTTAAAGGAGGAAAGGTTTATTTTGGCTCACAGTTTTAGAGGTTCAGTCTATATAGGTTTAGCAGGCTCCAAGTGGGAGGAGAGGTGGGGGGGAGGGGGAGAGAAAGGGATCACCCAAAAGGAGGGAAAGAAGGAGCCGGGGAGAATGCCCCCAGTGACCTACTTCCTTCATCAAGATGCCACCCCCCAGTAGTCTATTTAGTTGTCAATGGATTAATTCACTGGTGAGGTCAAAGCCTTCATATTCCAAACATTACCTAAAAGCCCTACCTCTGAACCTTGCTGTGCTGGGGACCATGCTTTCAATACATGAGCTCTTTGGGGAACATTTCCAATCCAAACCATAACACCTTGGAAGCCTAAGAGCTCCCACCTAGAAGTGGAAGCCCTAACCTGTCTGTTGTCTCCATACTTAAGAGGAAAGACAACCTCTCATAGAATGCGTTTGTAACCCTGATCCTTTCACAAACCTGTGAAGTAAGAAGGATTCTGCTGTTTTCACATGTAGATAAAGACACTAAGGCTTCCAGTGGGAAGAAACAGGGAAGACCAACATCCCGTGGTGGCTTTTTCCAAGCCTGGGTAAGAGGCTGGTAAAGGCAGCCTCTGTTGGACACCTTTCCTTGTAGTTGGCTGGGACCTTCTGGATGTGAAGTGCCCATTGCTCTGCCTAATTTATCCCCTCCTCCAGCTGTACCTGCCTATGAATTAGGTATAACAACCAGCGACCACAGGAGTGGTTACTGAGCTATAACCCTAGGCCTTTTTATTTCTTGAGACAGGGTCTCCCTAAGTTGCTAAGGGTCTTGCAAAGTTGTTAAACTCCTGAGTCACTGGGATTACAGGCTTGTGCCACTATACCCCCGCTTTTAAAAAAAATTGAGTATTTGCCAACAGTGTTAGTTCCCTAGGGCCACTGTAACAAAGTAGTACAAACTAGGTTACAACAACAGAAATTGTCTCCAGGTTGGGGGTGTACCCTGGCCAAGCATGTATAATGCACTGGGTTCGATCCCCAGCACCACCAAAGAAAAAATAAATTTGTTGTCTCATAGTTCTGGAGGTGAGAAGTCCAAAATCAAGTGTCACCAGGGACACCCCCTCTGAACATACTAGGGAAGAATCGGTGCTATGCCTCTCCTAGCTTCTGGTGGCTTCAGGCATTCCTGGGCTTGTAGATGCATGCTCCAGTTTTGCCTTCATTATCATAGGAACATCTTCACATTGTCTGTCCTATGTGTGTCTGTCTTTGTGTCCAAAGTTTCCCTTTTTATAAGGATATCATCTTGGATTAAGGTCCACCCCTAATGACCTCACTTAAACTATTACCTCTATAAAAGTCCCTATTGCCAATAAGGTCACATTCTAATGAACTAGGAGTTAGGACTTCAACTATCTTTTTTTGTGTGTGTGTGTGTGTGTGTGTGTGGTGCTGGGGATTGAACCCAGGGCTTTGTGCATGTGAGGCAAGCACTCTACTAACTGAGCTATATCCCCAGCCCTCAACTATCTTTTTTTTGGGGTGGTGGTGGGGAAACACCATAATACCAATACTTATAGTGGACATTCTTTTTTTAAAGTGCTATATTCCTCACCATTCAATAATCCTTTTCTTGCAACTTGAGGCCAAGAGTCATTACAATACACTATTGGCTCTGATTTTTGATCTGCCTCAAAGACCATGGTGAAGACAAGAAATTTACCTGGCACTGATTGTACACTCCTCCACTCAAGAGATCCAGACTGTGTCAGGGCTCTATAAGGTGTGAAGTGTCTTCTTCATTTCTTTCCTCTTCTATCAGTTTAGAGATGGTACTGAAAAGATGGTCACATATGGGAAGAGTGTAGGTCCCTAACTCAACTCTTGAGAGCTGACCACAGACCAGGAATATTTGTTTGAGGCTTCCTATCCAAAGCTGAGAGAGTACTGATCAGTGAAGCCCCAGGGGTTTTCAGGTGGGAATGGAGTGTAGAGCAGATGCAGAGTGGAGGGCAGAGCTTCCTATCTGACAGGACCATGGCAGGCCTCATCGGCAGACTAAAGTTTGAAAACTGTTGGCTAGATTTGTTTCTTCTTCCAAACAGTATCACTCTAGGCCCATTGAACTAGAAGCTAGAATCTCAAGGAGAGATGACTGGAAATTTTTACACTCCACCCACTCCCAGCTGGGGATTGAACCCAGGAGCACTGTACTACTGAACATCACTCATTCCAAGCTTTTTAAAAATTTGATATAGCTTTCCTTTAATTGCCCAGGCTGGCCTGGAAATTGAAATCCTCTTGTCATAGTCAACTGAGCCGCGCACCACTATGCCCATAAAATCTCCCCTTTTAACAAGTGTCCCAGGTGACTGTTAACCAGGAGAGTTTGGGAAAGACCAGACGCCATGATTTTTAAGGGTCACTCCAATATTCAGTCCAATTCCTCCTAAAACCAAAGACCCCAAACTATGGTTTTGGCCATGGGAGTGAGGCTGAGAATGCATTCACTATACCACTGGTGGATTAGAGTTTATTAAGTAGGGAGGAAGGGCAACACCCAAACCACCGAATCTGGGATTTCTGGAAAAAAGAAAAAATCTTGTCGGCCACTTCCTCCCTAAACAACACAGGGGCCTGAAGCCTGTCGAGGGGACAGGGAATGAGTCTCTTTGTCAGGGCTGGTGGTTGCTCCTGGGGTTTGGAATGATCTTCCGCGGAGCTTTCACGAGCCGGCAGTGGCATCAGGGTCGAGACTTCATAGCCGATGCAGCTAAACCCAACAAGATGGCTGCGACCGTGAAGCCTTGGGCGGCGATCCGGGTTCTCATCATGAGCTGTGAGCGCTGGCTATGGCCGCGATGGAAGCAGTAGAGGCCATAGGTGAGGGCGGCCGCCGTGCCCAGGCAGCCTGGGGAGGGGACAGAACTAGGGGAGCAGAGAGTAGGGCACCAGAGGTCCCTTCCCCAAGGACGAGACCACTAAACAACAGCAGGGAGAGAGGAAGGGGTTGGCCGAGGCGGGGTCTTCCTCGAGAGTCCCAGAGTCCGTCCCATCCCGGCCCCGCCAAACTTGCACTGCTCGGGTTCCAGTTTTACCCTCACTGCCCCGCCCCTTCTCCCACGTCTCCGGTTCGATCTCATTCGGTGCCTCCTGGAGTTCCCGGTCCTCCCCAGTTTCATTCCCCCCGACATCACTGTCCTCTTGGTTTACAGTTCCTACAGTACTCACTTACCTATGGGTACCATTGGGTTTTCTCGAGTCTTGCGAAGAAACTTTTCCTTGAAGCCTTCCGGATTGCTGTAAATACTGGGGCTGAAGCCCTCAATGACTGGGGGCTTAGATGGTTCAAAGGGTGTCTCGGGAGTCACAGGACTGGGAGTTGCCATGTCTGGGGCAACAGAGGTAAGGAGATACTCCGGACGTTGGACTCCGCCTCCTGATGAGGTCATGAAAGGGGCGGGGAAAACGAACATATTCATGTAGTACGCAGGGGCAAGAACCAGTTGCATTCTGGGAGTCGTAGTAATCGATGCGGAAGCGCTAAGGGAAAGACTACATTTCCCAAAAAAGCCTGAAAAGCCCGGCGCTCCCCCGCCGGAAGGAGTCTGTTAACACGAGGTTGTAAGTGCGAGGCTTCAGGGGTGAGCTGCTGGTGAGGCGGTCAGCGCAATGCCCAAGGCTAAGGGCAAAACTCGGAGGCAGAAGTTCGGCTATAATGTCAACCGAAAGCGTCTGAATCGGAATGCTCGACGGAAGGCAGCGCCACGGATCGAGTGGTGAGGTGCTCGGGGTTTGGGGAGCAGGGGGACACTGGCAAGGATCGCCCGCGAGGTGATAGAACCGCGAACTCTCTTTTTGCCGGTAGCTCCCACATCCGACATGCCTGGGACCACGCCAAATCCGTGCGGCAGAACCTGGCGGAGATGGGGTTGGCCATGGATCCCAACAAGGCGGTTCCCCTCCGTAAGAAAAAGGTATTGACAAGGCAGCATCCCGGGCCTTGTTTCCTTTTCTTTTTCTCCTTCCTTCCTCCTCTCCTTTCCTTGCTCCCTTTACTCAGTTTTTTATCTCTTTTTTCCTTCTTCCTTCTTCCTCTGCCTTGCTGGGATTCAGAATTTGATGCTCCCTCACGCTTTTCTCCACTTGCCCACAGTTCACTTGGTTATCCTGTACTGACTGTTGTCGAGGGTCCCTTCACCACCTCTCACACACCTCCTCAGCACACGTTTGGACCTGATTTGGAGTTTATTCTTTCTTCCTGCACTCAATATTTTTCCTTGGAAATTAACCTTTTTGGGTCCCTTGGCATCTCGAAGGTTATTTTACAGAATTAATGTTTTTCTGTTCTTGACTTTCCTAATAAGGACGCCCCGGAGTTTGAGACTTTATTATTTCCTACACCTTTCCCTAGTCATCCTTGGCCTGAGGTTTCGCTAAGACTAGTTTCTCCTCTGTAAGTCTTTTTCTGGACCATGCTTCAAACTTTCAAAAATAGCACCCTTCTTCACCCAGCATCTCTTCCCCCCTTTATTTTAATTTATAGCACTTGTAAATATATCATAGTATATGCTTATTAACTTATTTGCTTCTCTGTTTATTGTCTGTGTATCTTCCTCCTAACATAATTTCCTTGGTAACAGAATCTCTTGTGTTTTTCTCTGGTGTGCTTAGGATGTCACTTGATAACCTAAGGAATGGGCTTGCTGAATGAATTTGTCCCATGTCTTTAGGCAAATTTCTCTTTAATTCTTTTTTTTTTTTTAAAGAGAGAGTGAGAGACAGAGAGAGAGAGAGAGAGAGAATATTTTAATTCTTCATGCCAGAGGAAAATGACACTTCTGCTTCTTGAACAGTTATGAAGTTATAGCTAAGCACTGTCAGGTAGACGCTCCTCCTCCCATTTTAAATTATAAAGTACTTTCCCTTGCGTTGTTTCAGCTCAGTTGTCATACAACCAAATGAGGAAGGCAAGGAGTACTATACTCATTTTTATAAACAGTCATGTACATAGGCCTTTATGTGATTCTTTGGGAACTGTGGATTTTGGTTCTAGAAATCTTCAGGGCACTGGTTCTTGTTATCTAGTTCTGTTTAGTCTTGGGCATGGATTCTTAGGGATGATATAGTTGTGTTCAGGTGGCAGCATCTTTCTTTGATTCTGATCAAACTTTCCTTGATCAAAGGACCTTCCTTGTCTGCTTGTCTCACAGCCTCTGTTCTCTGCAGGTGAAGGCCATGGGCATGGACATTGACGTGGAGGAGAGGCCTAAGGAGCTTGTGCGGAAGCCCTATGTGCTAAATGGTGGGTATGGGCCTCTAGTTCATGGTCCTATACTATCAGAGTTGGAAAGAGTCCTCGGATGTCCTTATTTTAAAGCTGGAGAGACCAAGGTTCAGAGAGGGAAAAGGAGATGGTCTAGGTCTCTGTAAAGTTAGGACTGTGTCCTCCACTGAGACATTTTCAGTCTAATATTGACTAAACTTAAGTGTGTGAGCCACGTGTGGTGGTGCCCACCTGTAATCCCATTAATCCAGGAGGCTGAGTTAGGAGTATCACAAGTTTGGGGCCAGCTGGAGCAACAAGAGGGAGACCTTACCTTAAAATGAAAAAAATATAAAGACCTGGGGATGTAGTTCAGTGATAAAGTGTTCCTGGGTTCAGTCCCCAGAACAACCAAAAAAAAGAAAGACAAAAAAGTATGTCAGCTAAAGTCAAAGTGATGTTCAGGGGGATATAGCCAGGTAAATGAGGCTAGAAAAGAAACCAGTAAGTCTCAGGCATGTATTTGGCTTCTCATGAATTTTAGGATGAACTTACTTTTGGAGATTCCACCATTTATTTTATTTAGTTTTTCCAATGGCAAATCAATTTCATGTGTATTAAGACTAAGGACTGTCAGGTAGTATTAAGGCTAAAGAGACTGGATTCCCCACCCCTGGTCACACTAGGGATTGAACCCTGAGCTACAGCCCCTGCCCTTTTCTAATTAATTTCATTTCATTTTAGTTTAAGACAGGGTGTCCTTAAGTTGCTCAGGTTGGCCTGGAACTTGTGATTATCCTGAGTTGCTGGGATCACAGGTGTGTACCACCACACCCAGCTGGAGACTGATACTAAGCCAGGAAAACAGGAATACTCTTTAATATAAAGAGTTTTTCATTCATTGATCCTTTCCCTTAACTTCATGGGTTTTCTTGTGCTTTTTTGTAATTTTTTTCAGTGGAAAGGATTGAGCCTCAGCCTGTATTCCTGTCTGTAGCTTGTCTTTGTGGTTCTCATAAGAATTAGTGGACTGTTCAATGTGGGAAAAAAAAAGTACTGCACAGGATTGTGTACCCAAAGCTACATGTATTTATTATAAAAATTTTGGTTTTGATTTTTTTTTTTTTAATTTGTGGCTTTAAAATTACATAAAATTTACCATCTGGCTGGGCTTGGTGGTGCACACCTGTAAGCTCAGTGACTTGGGAGTTGAGGCAGAAGGATCAAGGCCAGCCTCAGCAACTTAGGCCCTAAACAACTTAGTGAGATTCTGTCTCAAAAAATAAAAAGGAGTGGGGATGTTGCTTAGTGGTAAAGCACCCCTGGGTTCAATCCCCCCAATATAAATAAATAAATACATAAATAAATTTACCATCTGAGCTGTTTTTAAGTTCACTGGTGTTATATTCAGTGTTGGGCAACAGATCTCTAGAACTTTGATTTTGCAAAACTCAAACTATACCCCTTAAACTACTCCCTGTTTCTCCCTGCTCCAGTTATAACAAACATAATTTTGACTATAAGCAATATTAGCACCTAACAACTAGATTAGATTTAACATCCTCGTTTCTATGAAGTAGCTATTTTCCTCCCTTCATAGATGAGAAACGGGATGATTTTTGCTTAGTTTTTCTTTTATTGTTGCTAGGCAAGCACTCCCCTGCTGAGTTATATCCTCAGCCTATGCAGTTATTAAAGTGAAACAGTTGTCTCCATAGCTTAGATTTTTTTCCCCTTGCATAGAGAAAGGCCCTCCTAGTCCCTGCAGCTCTTGTTTTCACTTATATAAACCTTTCCATTTCCTGTGTTGGTGTAAGACACCAAGAAAAGATGGTCCTTTTTTTTTTTTTTTAAGAATTTAATCTTGGGGCTGGGGATGTCTCAAGTGGTAGCGTGCTCCCTTAGCATGCGTGAGGCACTGGGTTCGATTCTCAGCACCACATTGAAACAAAATAAAGATATTGTGTTCACCTAAAACTAAAATATAAATATTAAAAAAAAGAATTTAGTTTTTAGTTTATTTAGTTGTTTGTTTGTTGTTTTAATATGGTGCTGAGGGCCTCAGCTCTGCTAAGTAAGTGTTCTACCACTGGGAGCCCTGCTTTCTAGGAAGGCAATGTATCTTCCTTTCTCTTAGTCCCAGAACCTGGTACTAAACAGGTAGTTTGGTGCCTTTTAAATCATCTAAGTACTAGAGAGAAGTGATTTGCTTTTTAGGTAGTTGCCATACTCACAGATATTTGTGTCATAGGCAGAGTCTGGGATCCTAGGGCTAAAGAAGATTTCAGCAGTGAATTTGGGAATGGGTTGGTAAAGAAATTCTTGTGGCCTGGGATTGGGTAAGGGGGTATTGGGGGTAGCTCTAACAATGTAGAAGGCAAAGCCTCATTCTGCTCCTGGCTTCTCTTACCCCAGATCTAGAAGCAGAAGCCAGCCTCCCAGAAAAGAAAGGAAACACCCTGTCTCGGGACCTCATTGATTATGTCCGCTACATGGTGGAGAATCATGGAGAGGACTATAAGGTGAGTGGCTCAGGATTTACAGAAAGAACTACTTGAACTGCTTGGGAAGGCATACTGGACTCTTCAGGGCCTTTTCTGCTTGCCTACTGCCTGTTTCCTGAGACTGAGTACAAAGAAGGGGAGGAAAGAGGCTCTAGGAAAGGGATCCCAAATGAACAGAATGATAACAGTAGAGATAGACAGTTGCTTGAGGTTCATATCCCATTCACAAACATGTTGTTTTGCTTCCATGGTGTTTTGTTTGTTTTGGTACTGGGGATTGAACCAAGGGCACTTAACCACTGAGCCACATCCTCAAGCCTTTTTAATTTTTTTATTTAGAGATAGGGTCTCACTAAGTTGCTGAGGCTGGCTTTGAACTTGAGTTCCTTCTGCCTCAGCCTCCTGAGCCTCTGGGATTATAGGCATGTGAGACTGCCTTGGTTTTTTTTTTTTTTTTTTTTTGGTACTGGGGAGTGAACTCAGGGGCACTCAACCACTGAGCCACATCCCAGCCCTATTTTGTATTTTATTTAGAGACAGGGTCTCTCTGAGTTGCTTAGTGCTTCACCATTGTTGAGGCTGGCCTTGAACTCAGGATTCTCCTGTCTCAGTCTTCCTAGCCGCTGGGATTACAGGTGTGCGCCACCATGCCCAGCTTCGATGTTGTTTTTATTTTTTCATTTATTTATTTATTTATTTTTAAATTTTCAGCGGACACAACATCTTTGTTGGTATGTGGTGCTGAGGATCCAACCCGGGCCGCACGCATGCCAGGCGAGCGCACTATCGCTTGAGCCACATCCTTAGCCCTCGATGTTGTTTTTAAAGAACTGAACAACTTAAACTAGTTGCCATTTTAGGTGTGGGAGGGATAAAACCATATATATATATATTTTTTTTTTAGAAGAGAGAATTTTTAATATTTATTTTTTCAGTTTTTGGTGGACACAATATCTTTATTTTTATGTGGTGCTGAGGATCGAACCCAGTGCCCCCCGCATGCCAGGCGAGCGCGTTATCTCTTGAGCCACATCCCCAGCCTGGTATATATTTTTGATTTTTTTTTTTTTTTAATTGAAAGAGCTGGCTATACTGGACCTCTGCGCTGGTTGTCTATGGGAAAGGAACTATTTAGCGGGCTATAGTTCCTATTTGGCCCACTGAACTCTTGGTTCTACCTGGTCCTTAAAGACATTTGTACCCATTTCCCTAGCCCCATAGTACAGAAGGGTTCCACATATACCATGGTTTTTTGAGGTGAGGCATCTGGACCTCAAGGTAGGAAATGGCTTGCTCAATTCAGGCAGAGCCATTGAAGCCAGAATTAGACAAGCAGTCAGTATAGATAGGTAAATCAAGTCAGGTTGATCAAGGAAATCAATTTTGAATGAGTATGGAAAGTTGGAGACTGTCCCCTGAGGGACTGAAATCTTAATTCCTTCAGAGCCCTTCCTCCACCCTTATCAAGAACCTGCCCCTGCTCCAATCTGTTGCTAAGGTAACCTATCCCAGGAATTGCCCCTCCCTACTGGGAGCTATGTGTCCTGGGCTGCTCCATCCTGCCCTTCCCCCTTCAGCCCACCTTTTTCCCACCTTTTGGCCACCACACCAAGCATTCCTGGGCCTAGTCATGTAAGCAGGAAAGAGGGATAAAGGCAAAATACCTCGCTTCTTGGCATACTAGGATACCAGCTATGCCCCCTTCTCCCGAGAGAAGTCTGTTACCCTCTTTTAAATAAACACTGCTTTATATGCTTGCCTCGGTGTGCTTCTCTAATGTTCAAACTTAAAACATGTGAGGGAGCAGAATTCATCATTGATAACCAGCGGTATCACTATGATTGAAAACTTTGCCTGTCTAGCTTTCTTCAAGTAGCCCTCCTCTCTTCTTTAGGCCATGGCTCGGGATGAGAAGAATTACTATCAAGATACCCCCAAACAAATTCGGAATAAGATCAACGTCTATAAACGTTTTTACCCAGCAGAGTGGCAAACTTTCATCGATTCTTTGCAGAAGAATAAAATGGAGGTTGAGTGACTGGTTTATACCTGTTTGAGGCTGAGGCTTTTCCGGAACCAGTGAAGCTGGAGCCAGGGTTTAAGGCAGAGAGAGAGTGTGTGGCTTTAGATGAGATTGGCTAATTCTGTGGAATCAGGTTACATTCCTCCTCCTCTGGGAAAGGAACTGTCTCTGAGACTCCAATTTATATTCCTTTAGGAGCTCTCAGAAATGCCAGAACTTGTTTTCAGAGTGGGTACTTTATTTGAGTATGTCTGTACATAATAAAATATTTTACTTTGTTGCTAGTTTTATATTTCCCAATCCCAAGTCCTAGGGCTGCCTCAGAGAAAACCAACCCTAATAGTGCAGAGATCATCTTGCCCAACAAGCAAATGCCACATGCACATGCCTTATAGGTAGTCTCCTTCCTTTTTTTGGGGGGGGGGTGTACTGGGGATCAAACCCAGGGACTTGTGCATCAAAGCAAGCACTCAACCAAACTGAGCTATGTCCCCAGCCTCTCCTTCCTTTTCTTGATTGCTCTCTGCCTTTGTTTCCTGTGCAGCAGTTCAGTTTACCCTCCCATAGAAGCTCACTGCTTGGAAGGGAGCCTGCCTTGCTATTCTAATCCCACCCCTGAGCCAGCTATGGCTTCTCTGCCAGAGGTTAAGGAGCCAACTCCTAGTCTGCCTGCCAAGTGATCTACCTTTCTACTTTAAACTGCTTGTTGTCTTTGGCCTGAAGTGAACCCCAGGCCCCAAACCTGCCTCTGGGACTATGGTGGACTGCTTGCTGTATACCGCTCTATTGTGAGCAGTGCATTGGACTGTACATTTTGTGGTCCTCCTTGAGCCAGGCCTACCTGAATGCAGTGACATGTGAGGCAGGGCATGGGGTGGGTATTTCCTTAAGTCCTAATACTTAATCTGCTACTTAGGCCTTATTATTAAGGTTTCTCCTAGAAGAACCCATAATGTGTCTTCACTGCTCTTCAAAGTAGGGGCTTGACTTGTGTGCTGTGGTACACTCCAGTAATCCCAGCAATTCTGGAGGCTGATGCAGAAAGATCTGAGGTTCAAGGCCATCTTCAGCAACTTAGCAAGATGCTGTCTCAAAATTTTAAAAGGGGGTGGGAGGGATATAGCTCAGGGGTAGAATACCCCTGGGTTTAATCCCCAGGACTAAAAAAGAAAAAAGGCTTGGTGTGTTTACATTTCATTGCTTTTGAGAAATCCTGTGAGGTGCGAGCTTTTATCTTCATCTTACAGATAAAGGAAACAGGCTGGAGAGATGTTAAAGTGAGACTTGAAGTCAAATCTCCTAGGCTTTCTGTAGCCCACCTATCCCACAATATCAAGGTGGGTTGGAAGAGTCCGAGAACACCCTCTTTTGGACTCGGCCTTAGATTTCATCAGTTACTGGCCATTATGAGCATTGAGAGTGGTTTTTAGGATCTTGTCTAGCAGAGCTCCTGAGGGCCTATTTGGCTTCATAACTTCCTCTGTCTATAGAATTCCAAATTCTAGCATTTGACCAGGCTATCCCCTTGCCTTGTTTTTTCATCCAGTTCAGGTGCCAACTTTAGGAAGCCTTCCCTACCACTAGCCCTTGCCCCTAGGCTGGGTGTACCCTGTAGTTGCCACCCCCAGACTTCCTATAACAATACATGTTTATTTTTTTGTGCTAGGGATCAAAACCAGGGCCTAAGCACCTGAGCCCCATATCTACCTATTTTTCTTTTTTGTTTTGGTACTGGGGATTGAACCCAAGGGTCCTTTACCATTGAGCTATATCCCCAGTCCTTTTATTTTTTTGAGAGGGGTCTTACTAAGTTGCCAAGGCTTACCTTTAACTTGTGATCCAACTGCCTCATGCTCCCAAATTGATGGGATTACAAGCATGTGCCACTAAGCCCAGCAATCATTTTTCTTTACTTGGCATCCCTTGCTAGATAAGCTTGAGGGCAGGGATCTTGCCTGGGAATCCATAGGGTGGGCCAACGCAGATGCTGGCAAGAATGCTCTTGTGGAATCTCATGTCTGCGTAGCTCTGTGGTCTTCCTTCTGACCCTGAGTGTGGAGGCCATTAGAACACTTCTTGCTGCCATTTCTACCCTTTAACTCTGGTTAAAACCCCTCAGATCTTTCCCCAGAGGCAATGAGTTAGGCCAAAGCTGATGTTCTTACCTACCTGCTCCCTACCCCCACGGGCGGTACTGTCCCACACAGGGTACTAGGAAGTGTTCTGGGCTCACCCTCCACAGCTGCCCTTTATTGGGACTGTAAGCACTCAGCACATACTACTCAAAGTAAGAATTCAAATGAACTGCATCGGAGTTTTGGCTTTTTTTTTTTTTAACACAAATAGCTGCTAAAATTCCAGTATACACAGTTTGTCCTTGATAGCCCTTTGCATATGGGTTTGTGGGGCACAGGCCAAAATAGCAAGGCCCCTCTACTTCCAAATCTTTTGACAGAAATCCTCACCTTGTCCCTTGGTGGGCCCATTTTCCAGAGGTAACAGATGAGGAAAAGTTGAAATCCCCATTTCATAGCTACTAAGAAGAACTTAGTGTTCAAAATTACCACCTCTGAGGCTGTGTGAGGGGAGGACAGTCTGTTCAGAATACCTCAGACCCAAGGTCTGGGACAGTTGTTACATGAGAAGAGACACCTAACATGGTCCTGCTGCTAGTTCAAATGCTGGCTATTCTTAACCAGCGTAAGAATAATGAATTGTGGGGCTGGGGATGTGGCTCAAGCGGTAGCGCACTTGCCTGGCATGTGTGCAGCCCGGGTTTGATCCTCAGCACCACATACAAAGATGTTGTGTCCGCCGAAAACTAAAAAATAAATATTAAAAATTCTCTCTTTCTATCTCTCTCTCTCTAAAAAAAAATAAATAAATAAGAATAATGAATTGTTTTTTTAGAGGTAAGTGGAAATATTTTTTGGAGAATACGTTTCATTCAGGCTGGGAGACAAGTGTCAGATTTCCATCAGCACCCTCCCCACAGAAGACCATGAGGCTGTGATGGACTGACATTTCCTCCCTGTCCTCACAGCCAGGTATCAAGTTAGCACAATCTTAAAACCTATAGTTCCGGGCACCAAGAGTTTCTGGACATAGCCTCTTGGAATGGGAAACTAGTCCCAGGAACCTCAAGAACCCTCTCATCCTGACCATACAAATGTCCATGATATGGGCCAATGTGGCCTCTCTAGAAAGTATGGCCACAGGTCACAAAATGGAAAACCAAGAGGCCATAGTTCTGTTTAAATAGCTTAAGAACAAAGGCCCCACCGGGGTAAAACATTTGCCTAGCATGTATAAAGCCGTAGGTTTGATCCCTAACACCTCCCAAAACAACCCAGGCTGCTAAGGCCAGGTGAATGATCCTGGCACAGGTGCAACAGGTGAGCAGATCCCAGAGACATCGCTTCATTCTGGTTTGTATCTTCCCTCGGGCTGACCTTGTTAGAATGTGAGTGCATCCCAGACATTTAATTTGGTGTTTCTAAGCTCATCTAAGTTGGCAACTGTGGGGCTGGGGCACTGGGAGGAATACAGTGTCACCCAGGCTAGACTGGGGAACATACTTTGAGATGAGAAGCTGTAAGTAACTGGCTGATTTGCAAGAGCCAGATGTTCTCAGCTCCTGGGTCCCAGAAAGTACTATTCAGAAGTAGCTGAGTGCCAGGTATGGTGGTGTACACTGTAATTACAGCAACGTGGGAGCTGAGGCAAAAGGACTGCACGTTTGAGACCAGCCTCAGCACCTTGTCTCAAAAATAAAAAGGACTGGATTATAGGTTAGTGGTAAAGACCTCTCTGTTCAATCCCTAGTACCCCCCCCCCAAAAAAAAAAAATCCAAACCCAACAACAAAAAATCTCCACAAGGCCAGGCAGGGAGGGAAAAGAATGTGCTAGCAGCCCCACCATGTGAGTGTACCAGCACCCAGAGGCCACTGGAATTCCTATATGCTGTATAAGGATGGAGTGGTGATGCTACTCTAGCTCCTCAATGTGCCACTGATGCCTGAGGTTCTGAGAATGGTCTTTATAAAAGCAGCTCAAGTAGATATATATATATATATAGTAGAATTGTTTATTCTTCAAGTTCATCTCCCCTTATTGAGGACTTTAAAAATTGTACTACATAATGATATTCATTAGACAAAGGCAGATCTTAATTAGGAAAAAAAGGATCCCTCTCAACAATCAATGCTGGTTCCGAAGGCAACCTTTAAGCCCTGGAGAACAAGGTGAAGTTTATAGAACAAAGACACAGTTTTTCACCCTTCCAATGACAAGATGAAAAACTGCTAGCAAAATTTCAAAGGCTACTCTAAAACCCAAGTCATTCCTTAAATATTTAATACAAAAGCAGAAAAATCCCTTCTTACCGTGGAAGATGAATTGGCATATCAAAGAACAGTGATTCCATTCTGTTATTTCCACAGTCCAAGGGCACAGTGGGCCACATTCTCATAGATCACACTTATTTCTGGACTTAAAAGCTTCCCACACACTGCCCCTCCACAGTGCCCTTCCTGACCATATTATTGTACTGAAGCATGCTGGTACATGTCAAATGAAACAAAGGCACACACTCTGTTCTCAATTAGAAAGCAAATTGAGTGGGATATCACCTTAAAAAAATAAGTCGGTTTGCAGTTGTTGATTATTCAGTGGCCCCTGACAGACAACAGGCTCCTTCTTTTGCCTGTACAAACAAGAACTGTTGATGTGAA